TCAGAAAAACATAAAACTGTGTCTAGAAATGGCCAACAAATACCAGATGCTATAGGCTATATTTCAGAGAAAGGAACTGGCAAAACAACCTCTTGAGTATTCCTTGCCTAAGAAAACCTATGAAATTCATGGGGTCACCATAGTTGACAGTCAACTTGAAGGCACACACAAATACACACACAGGGCTTTGAGCCAGGACTATTGTAGTTTATCTTATCCTGTGTTGCATTTTCTGCACTGGCCACCCAGTTGCATCTCTGGAAATTTACAAGCAAGTCATGAAGATGATGGTTTTCTGTTTGTCTCTATACTCACCTGATATTTAGAGGTATACATTCTCTATATCTGATGGATCCATTTGTAGTTATTGCTGATTGATGCAGATAGATTTAATTTGTCTGATTAATTTGTCTGCTGAATCCTCTCTTTTTTTCCTCTTTTCTTTCCTCTGTCATATTTTGTTCAAATGTTCTCTCTCTCTCTCTCTCTCTCTCTCTCTCTCTCACTCACTTTCTTTTATTATCCAAGAATTGTTTAAGTCTTGGCGAATTATGTTAAGTCTGATTTCAAGGAAACCTTTGACCCTTCCCATAGGATGGTTGCCATAGATTTTGTTTTGTTTTTTTCAGTTTTGGCTGTTCCTGTAACTTGCATTGCCTAATGACATTGATTGTTTGCTTCAAAACCCCAGCCTTTCCCATGGTGTTTTTTTTTTTTGGTGTTTTGTTTTTGTTTTTAAACAAGAAAATCAACCTTGTGGTTGCTCAAGAGAGCTCCCTTTTGCATTTCCACTTGACAACAGAAGGCTGTTAGAAAGTCTAGTGGGGGAGAAAAAGGGTAGAGTGAATGGGGTGGTGGTGGTGGTGGTGGTGGAGAAACAGCAAGCCACAGCTTTTGTAGAAAAAGCTATTTTTCCTGTTTTTCTGGGTGTGTGGTAGGTTAGTACTTTACATGCAGAAATAGAAAGAAAGAAAATGAAAAAAATGTATTTTCTACCATCCAACCTAAGGGAATTTCATGTGCTTTGTGGCTGCTGTGGGAAACAAGGTTGCAACACCAGTATTGCCTGCAGCAAATGTGTAACATATAGATATTATAGCAGAGTATGCCAAGGTGTTTTTGGGGTTTTTTTGGACAACAGCACCCAGAATCCTTCAGCAAGCATAGCTAGTTTAGGGATTTTGGTTCACCATATTGCATTCAGCAGAGGCATACATGAACCATGCTGGTTGGGGGATTCTGGGAATAATAGTTCTTAAATGTAACTTTTTGCAAGTTTTGTATTTTTAGTAACTACATACAAATATATCTGGGAACTCTGATTCATAAAGATACACTGACATTTAAAGATGTAACATACATGTATGGTGTTTGTTTTTACTTTACATTGGTTGTAGTTGGGGTTTTGCTGCCATTTTATGTTTTCACTGTATTCTCAGTGCAGGAAACTTGTATAGTATATACATAATGCTGCTCAAATTCAGCGTGTTATCCTCCACAATTTGCCAGAAACCTTCTGTAAAGAAGAGGACCCACTAGTGGCCACTTTGCCCAGGAGCTCTTGTACAAATCTGGAATTAGTAAATCTAGAATCACAATAACTCAGGCAACATCAGTGTAACAACATAATTGCCTGCAACAATTTAAAAGCCATCCAGAATTTGTATTAAAAAGTGTGTGAGAGTGTAAAATATTTTTCCTGTGGATAGGAGACAGAGCTTGTTATTTTAAAAACATGTTTCTTGTTCATCAGTGTTGGTGGTGGGGTTTTGCCAGTACCATGTGTGTACAGTACATATGAATTTGTTGTTGTTGTTGTGTTCCTTCAAGTTGTTTCTGACATAGGGTTTTCTTCGCAAGATTTGTTCAGAGGAGGTTTGACATTCCTTCCACTGAGGCTGAGAGAGTGTGACCTGCCCAAGGTCACCCAGTGGATTTCATGGCTGAGCTGGGAATCGAACTCTGGTCTCCAGAGTCATAATCCAAGATTCAAATCACTAAGTCACCCTTATGAATAGCATAATGCAATGTTACCATATTACTAGCAACAGACATTTGTTCCTGCAGAACTATTACTTAACAAGGATCACAGCCATTTTTATTGGAGGCAGAGCTCCACCCCAAATAAAAGTGTCTGCCACTCTTTCAAGTAATTTTTCTGCAGGAACAAATATCCATGTATGTATATACGGATATATATATGTTTGTATATGTATAAAAAGATTGTTTGCCCTAATGTTTGCCCTGGTTTTGTGAAAGGTAAAAGTAAGAATTACTAAACGCATTGCTTCTTGTTAATTCATTGTTACTGCAAATAAATAAATAAAAGTAACAAGCACAACACTGTTACTGTTAACCTGTCTATGATAGATCTGGAGTACCATTAAAAGAAAATTCATCAGCCTGATCTGGAAAGGCATAAAATCTCAGGGTAAACAGTAAAAGCAAGTGACTGAAAAAGTAATTATTTCTCCTCCGATGTTTACAAAAGCATTCTCTTTTTTCCTCCCCTTCCTTTTGGCCACCCACATAAAAGGCACCACCGCCTGAATAAATTCCTCATTTAGTGTAATTCCATGTGGCTCGTTCTGGAAATCTACCTTGTTGTGCTGCTCTCTGAGCTGTTTTCCCTAGTAGAAGACTAAACAGCTCAGTCCCTGAATTCAAAGGATCGATTCCTTCCCCCACCCGGGTTTGACTCATGCCAACAGAGAGCCCTATGCCGTCAGTTCATGACCTCCAGATATAGGTCAGCTGTTTTCTGGATCAATCTTCAGGTCCGCCTGTCACAGGCCTGAGAGGAGGGAGTTCCTCTTTGGTTTGATGTTCTTGGAAACAGAGGAATGCATGCTCAATTGAGCCACATGACTTGCCTGTCTTTTTATTGTAGTCCCCCTCCCTCTCTCTCTCTCTCTCTTCAACTCTTACATGGAGACCGGTCAGTTTCACAATAGCTTGTCCTGTTGCCATGCTGAAGGGCGTGCGGTTTTTTGCAGGGTGAGGTGTCCCTGGACACACATCTGGCATGACCTCCACTGGCGCCTCAGTGATCCTGGGCTCCGTTTGACACGCTAGGGTTGGGTAACCCCGGGCCGTGGATTTGTTGTGGGGACAAGCATTGTGAGTGACTCAGTGTGTCTCCTCCACTCCAGGGACCACTCTGTTTCCTTTGCTGATGTCATCTTTGTGGCATCCTCTGTCCAAACCAGAGTTGCTGGCAGTCTTAACAGCTGCTGTCCCGAAATACTTTGGATTCCAGTTGAGTTTGGTAACAGAGGGGCTCAAGATAGATCATCTTTGGAGCGGAGTGTATGCCCAAGGAACAAGCATGCATTTATTTGCACGTGCATTTTCACATACTTTTTTGTTTGCTTTTTGCACGCAACCTTGCTTTGCGCTCCCTAAACTTGTTTACATGCAAGATTTCCTCTGGTGAAGACCTCAGAGCTAGTTGACATCCACATTTCTGTTCTTGCCTTATTGCTAGAATATTGGAATCAGGGGAGGAGATGTTTGGGAGAGGAATAAGTTTTTGTAACAGCCAAAATGGTGTAGTGGTTTGAGTGATGGACTGTGATTCAGGAGAACAGGGTTTGAATCCTCGCTTAGCCGTAGAAACCCACTAGGTGACCTTGGGCAAGCCACACTCTCTCAGCTTCAGAGGACAGCAAAAGCAAACCCCCTCTGAATAAATCTTGCCATGAAAATCCTGTGGTCGAGTTGCCTTAGAGCAGGGGTAGGCAACCTTTCCCCTTTAAAGGCCGAGGGACTTCAGCTCCCAGAATCCCAGGAGCTATAGGCCAACATGGCTGAGGCTTCTGGGAGCTGAAGTCCCTCGGCCCTTAAAGGGGAAAGGTTGCCTACCCCTGCCTTAGAGTCACCGTAAGTCAGAAACGATTTGAAGGCCTACAACAACAAAGGTTTTTGTCTGCATAATTCTGGATGTGATGGTGAAGCAAATCAAAGGACTGAAGACAAGGACACAAAATGATTAGATTTGCTGCCCATTCCAAGTAAAAAGGCAAATTGCATTTAACAAGGTTAATTGCCCAAATATTTAATTACAGATGAAAATTAGCTGTGGTGGTCCATGATGTTTTTGCTTATTACATTTAGAGCTTGGAAACATTACTTTTTGGGACTATGGGCCCTTGCAGACTGCCAGAAATAGTGCAAATTGAGTCCACTAACTGCCCTGACTCAGTGCTAGGGAATCATGGGAACTGTAGTTTATTGTGGCACCAGAGCTCTCTGACAGAGAAGGCTCAATGTCTCAGAAAAAAATACAATTCCCATGATTCCCTAGCACTGAGCCAGGGCAGTTTAAAGTGGACTCAATTTGCAGTATTTCTAGCAGTCTGCAAAGGCCCTATAGCTCTCAAAGTTCTAGTTGCAGAGTTGTTTTGGACTACAACTCCCATGACTGCTGGCCATGCATCTTGAATATTCTAGGAGCTGTAGTTTAGAAAAGTACCTTTTCTAAGCTATGTTTTGATTATACCAGAGGAGCCTGTGTCATCAGATGTGTAATAAAAGTTTTGTTCATCCAAATTTTGACCCACTTCTATCCCCAAATATATATGTTCACTTGGAATGCGTATTCTGACTCGGACAGACACCTGCTGTATGTACAGATCAAATGGATGCAAAAGAGCAGAAAGAAATGACACTCTCTCCAAGAAGGTGAAACCGAGTTTGTTTTTCTTGTCTTGATTCAGACTTTTATTTTAAGTTCAGATAAATCTCTGCAGGTGTACATTTGACTCTGTTATGTACACGCACATCCATGCAAACCTGATGGGTCATAGGTGTGTCAAGGTGTGTTCAACATGGCTGACGTGTATATCCTTTTATATTCCTTAAAGTAGTTTCCGACGTATGGTTACCCTAAAGTGAACCTACCATGGGGTTTTCTTAGCAAGATTTGTTCAGCGTGAGGTTGCCATTGCTTTCTTCTGAGGCTGAGAAGCTGTGACTTGCCCAAGGTCACCCAGTGGGTGTGGTCAAGCAGGGATTTGAACCCTGGACTCCATAGTCATAGTCTAGCACTCAAACCACTATACCACACTAGCTCTCTGGCACGTAAATCTGCTCCCTTGCATGCCAACACATAAGTACACACTAACACATAAATGACATGGAGGAAGTGAGAGATGTTCTTCCACTGCTGCCTGAAGATGTGTATATTTCAATAAATCAAGGGTGAGCAACTGTGGGTTGAATGATTTTGGAACTGCTATTGTCAGTTCCCATTGTTCCTCACTATTGGTCATGGAGCTCAAGACTGATAAGACCTGTAAGCCAAAAGCATCTGGAAGGCCAACGTTGACTACACCTACTATAAAGAATTCACACTTTTTAGAAACTGGAGTGCTGCTGCATCTCTATAAAACCATGAGTTTTAATGGGCCCAAGCACTTTGACAGGCTTCATTGTGTTCGGCTTTCGCTGGTTTCTGTATAACACTCCTTTCCTGGCAGCTGACTTCCTTTTTGGAGTCAGACACTTCCTCACGTATCTCTCAGATGTAATTCCTCCTCTTGCCCCACCACTATGCCACAAAAGTGTTTCTCAATTTTGTGCCCCTGGTCCTCTTTTTGTTTTGCAGTTTGGGGCTGCCTCTGTAAGGAATGGCTTTGTCTTGGCTCTCGATTAGCTGTTTTGGCACAGCTTTGTAAAATGGGTACAAAGTTGTGGTGGAGGACACTATCTTGTGTATACTATTGCTGTAGGTTGCATATACTGAACTCTTGACTTTTCAACTGCTTTGTACAGTGGGCCCTTGGTATCTGCTGGGGTTTGGTTCCAGGACCCACCATGGATAGTAAAACCTGTGGATGTCAAGTCCCATTAAATACAATGGCATAGTAAAATGGTGTCCCTTATATGAAATAGCAAAATCATGCTTTTTGGAATTTGTATATATTTTTTAAATATTTTAACTTGTGGATGCTTGAATCCATGGATACAGAGTGCCGACTGTACATGTATGTGGGCCTCTCCAAACTGGTCAAAAGCCTGGTGGGAGTAATACCTGTACAATGCTTATTGGCGTTTGTAAAAATATCCGTGTGACAAACCTACGATCCCAGTGTATTTCTCATGAATTTCTGGGACTAGCCGCAACTTTTAAAACCCAGGGCAGGGGTGAGTTTTTAACTGTCCTGTGAGTTTCTGATACAGGTAGAGATAAATCCCCACCTCTGTATCCATTGTCTCAGTTCCTTCTGGGTAGTCCTACTGATGGGATGTGTTGAATAGAACTGTGGTATTTGCCGAGATTTTCCTGTGATCTTCCTTCCCACTTTATATTTCCAGGTTCCATATGGAATATTTATGTTTTCTCTTTACTTTTGCAGTTATGTTGAAGTGGTATAGCACTTTAGCACTGTGGCTATAACCATATAATATATATACATATATATATGCATTATAATATACAATGACAGGAAATACCGGTAATTGCCCTATTGAAAACTGGAGATGTCTCTTGTACCTTTAATGGTTGTGTGGAAGGGGGCATTTCAGCAGGTTACATGACTAGGTAGCAAGCAACACTTGCTGAAATGCCTTCCAGTTTTTTCTCTGGCAACCCTAGCAGAGAATATAGATATTGGGGGAAGAAAAGGGAGATGTCCCTGAAGGGAGGTGATGCATTGTGAAGGAAACCTGATCCAAACCAGTTAACTACACTTTAGCAGGAAAAAGAAAAGTAGTCAAAATCCTGGTATGTTTGTGATATGGCTGGGTGCGGAATGGGATCAACCATTAAAAAGTATGAAATCCTGAAACAGAATAGCTCAACATTTACTGGTACTGTTGGTCCATTGGGAGAAGCCCTTTGTTAGGTTCTCCTGGAAGACCTTGGAAAAAAATTGTTTCTGGGTGTATAGGATTCTCTGCTGAAGATTCCCTGTCCCCTGCACAGAGCTCTGTACCATCTCATTAAAAACACCTAGGCAAACTAAAGTTAAATTTTTGGACTAGAACCTCTCTAACTGGGGAAATTGGGGAGTTGTAGTTCAAAATAGTAACATTTCCAAGAACTGTCTGAAACTATAGCCCTGGAATACAAGACCTACTATACACAAATATTGTTTTTAAGTTGCTCTGATGGCTATGGCCTTAGGAATCCTGTGAGCTGTAATGTGACAAAGGTGTGTTGACTATCCTCCACTGCAGGTCCTTGTGGAAAGTATCACACCCTGAGCTCTTTATTATTATTACTTATAATTGTAAATATTTTTAAAACCAGTTTTTCTTTTCCTTGTACTGTAGTAAAGCAGTGATTCCCAAATGGTGTACAGAGATACACTGTTGTGCCATGAGAGAACTGCTACTGTGTGCTACCCCCCCTAAAAAACCCCAAAGCAAAACAAAATAATTAAAACAAAACAATTTTTTTTTTTTGCATGGGCCCAAAATATCGACTTTACTTGCTCTGTCCCTGGTTCCTACTAATATGAGTGGATAATTATTCAGTTACTTCCAGTGTAAACATGCAGCAGGAATAACTCTTTCACGCTACAAAGTTGTAGCACTTGGAATGCCAATTATGGCTCCATTCTATTAAATCCTGGGATTTGTAGTTTTTGTGAGCTAATTTAAAATTTTCTGCTAGATTGCTCTGCCTCACCAGGCTACAAATTCCAGGATTGCATGGGATGCAGCCATGGCAATTATAGCGGAAATATAGTGCTATAATTGTATACTGCAGAGGAGACTCTCTCTGAGGAGCTGCCAGTTGTGTCTCTGCATTAGTTGCTATTTTGTATTTGCCATGCGTGCACTCAGAACGTGGGAAGCTGCTCTATGCTGTGAATGCTTCCAGATGGAGAGCTTCAAATGGAAGGCATTATGTGTGTGTGTGTAATAAATATATATACACACACACAGAGCTGGAGAAAGTTAATTTTAAAACCTTTTTTCAAAGAAATGATGTCATAAGCATTGGAAAAACCTTGCCTGTAATGCTGTGTTCTGGGCACCACAGTTCAAGAAGGATATTGACAAGCTGAAACATGTCTAGAGAAGGGTGACCAAAATGATCAAAATCTGGAAACCTGAACTTATATGGAATAAATTTAGCTTGGAGAAAAGAAGAATGAGAGGTGATAGCATGATAGCCATCTTTAAACATCTGAGGGGTTGTCATGTAGAAGATGGAGCAAACTTGTTTTCTGCTTTTCTAGAGACTAGAATACAAACCAGCGGATTAAAATTACAAGAAAAGAGATTCCACAAAAACATTAGGAAGACCTTTTTTGCTGTAACAATTGTTCAACAGTGGAATGAACTGCCTTGAACAGTGGTGGACTCTCAATCTTTGGAGGTTGTATAGGCATTTATCAGAAGTGCTTTAAGTGTTCGGAAGTGCATGGCAGTGGGTTGGACTGGATGGCATTTATGGCCATTTCCAACTCTTAAGATTCTCTGAAAACAGTGGAGTATTCCAAATAGGATACAACAAACATCTGGATTTGGTCTAAAATTCTGTGAATGAGATAGGATGCATGCACAATAAAAGTTTTATCTGGAGAGTTCCATTTATCAGGTTATTGGTCTCATCTAGATCCCCACAGTATATGGCAGTAACTCTCTGGGATTTAGGCAGATCTTATTTGAGGATTCCAAGGGATGAACCTGGAATCTTTTCCATTCAGCTTTCCCACTGAGCTGCAGCCTCACAGAATGTGGAACAATACTTAATCTTTTTGCATGCTCCAAGCAGAATTGTGGGTTTCCAGTATTCTTTGAATAAAAAAAATCCCAGAAAAACTCTGGCTGTCTTAAGGAGATGGAGAGCTGGTATGGCATGTGATTTGACTTACAGCATCATCCTATGTGTGTTTACTCAGAATCCCCACTGTATTTATTGAGGCATACTCCTTAGTAAGTATTTTTAGAATTGTGTATTGATTTACATTGAGTAAACATAACTTTTAAAAAATGACATGCTAATTAAGTAATAAAGTGTTAAGTAATAAAATTTGTTAACCAAAGCTAATAGTAGTTATTTGGGGGTGTATGGAATAAGTGTGCACATTTTGTGCAGCTGAAATCTTACAATCAGACAAACTGCTAACATAAAGCTTTAAATTTATCATTACTGGTATCCTTGTAAAGATTTCAAGACTTAACTCTGTACCACACACTTCCATTACACTGTTTAGATTTCAAAAACAAAGATAAAGACTCTGAAAAGTATTAGCAAAATGTAGATTATCTGAATAAGTGTGCATGTAAATATATACTGGACTATAAATTGACCTTATGTATAAGTCATAGGCAGGTTTGCGGGCCAAAATTATGGATTTTGATATGACCCATGGAAAAGTAAGGGTAAAACTTAGGGGCATGTAACAAAAGATCTAAAGCAGGGGTAGGCAACCTTTTTGAGCCAGGGGCCGGGTTGCTGTCCCTCAGACAATTGGGGGGCCGAAGCACCAGAAAAAAAAGTTTAAAAAAATTTAAAAAATTAAAAAAGAGAAAAAAGAGAAAAAAATTTAAAAATGCATGCACACTCTCTCAGCCCCAGAAAAGCCATGATGGCAAAACCCCTGTGGAGATTTTGCCAAGAAAACCCCAAGAACAAGTAATAACAACAATAATAATCAATATCATCATGGAGGGGGGCGGTGGCGGCAGAACTGGCTTGGGGCTGGTCCAAAGGCCTTGGGGTGCCGCATCCGGCCCCCGGGCCTTAGGTTGCCTACCCCTGATCTAAAGAATGAAACAAATGAAAACAATGCTAAAAAACTTACAAAATTATAGCAGACATAACTGTGCTCACACTAAAGTCTGGATGAATGAGAGAGTAGAAGGGGGTCACTGCTTACAAGAGTTACTAATTATGCTCTTGTCTTTCACCAGGGGATGGTCTACCTTTTTTATAATAGTTAATGTACAGGACTTACATTGACCTGTGGATAAGTTGATCCAGGTTTTTTGAGTTAATTTTTGACTAAAATTTCTAGACTTATACATGAGTATATACAGTAAGTGTTCCCTAGCCTGAGTTACCTGAGGAAAAAAGTTAATTACAACAACATTGATCTTAGATTTGATTAGT